AGATCTCAATCTTGAATAAAAATAATTGTATGCTAGAAGGGCTAAAGATATAAGTTTTTAGTAATTTCTCGTTTATTAACCATATTTTTTCGGTTTGAAAGTCACTAGGCAGTCTATTGAGGGATGATTCGATAGAGCGCACCAAAAACTAAATGAGAATGAAATAAAACAGAGGAATGAATAGATAAGCCAAAAATAGGCACAATTTAAATTACTTGCAGACACGATAATAGTCATAGTCCGATGATATTAAAAGATATGAAGACCAGGGTTTGACAGCAATCTCCTTTATCCGTATAATGTTGGATTGACCTCGACTTCACAACTTGGTAGGTCAAACCAACACGATAGGAGAGAGGTTTTAGATAATAACTAATGTTACCATAGATAGTTAAAGTGACGAATGACTGATTGTGACTTTACCTACAACGATATAAGTGGGCCTTACGATGTCATTCAATTTCACTTCGCCTCACTTTTTTAATGGTATTGTCATTTAGGGTGGACATCAGCTTCGATTCCCGTTACTGGTGGGAAAGAACCCTAGGTGAGGTAGAAACCGCAGTCTAGTTCGAATGTAAATAACCTTTTGGAGGCAAGGCTCAGTGGCGTTCAGTGGTATCGTAAGGCCTACTTTTATCACTGGGAAAATTCTGTCATACCTGGATCACATTAAGTGTCATATAGAGGCTAAGGTTCTTGTTCAATATCTACTGAGAATCCGGTAAAAAATATTAATTACAAGAAGGATTTTTCGAAATCAACATGGAACTTAAAAGCTGAGCAAACGACGCAAGAAATTTTAAACTCTAAAGCAGATTTTAAAAGATGGGCATCTTCTAAGTTCTCAGTAAAATAATTAAGACCTAGCTACTTGTTTTTAAGCATGATTTCTTAATTTTTGTGTAGTGAAGTTTGGCAGTAAGACAGCGATAGCAGTGCTCAGAACTAACTTGAAGACTAATTTACATTGGCACCTCTCAGAGATGCAAGGCGATTAAATCATTCGACCATTAATATAATATGTTCAGTTGTGGTTTTTTAAGAACAAAAATTATAATTAAACCAGAGGCAAGAGAATCCCGATGAAGGATAAGTTCCACTTTAGCATCAGCATATATAAATTAGCAAATGTGAACCTTAGTAGACAACATGATATGAGGAGCATGGCTAGTCTCGAAGTTCACCTACCGGGATTGAGTCTGGATGATTCGTCGCTGGTTGACAGGGGAATTCTGTTCCGGTAATCACCCGAGGCCAAGATCGAGCCGCTTGTCCTTCTGCCACTTGGGGATCTTGCGTTCCTATTGTCCAACTTGCCCACCTGGGCCAAGTGGCCTTGGCAAGAGAGTGTCACAGGTGAGACCGGAGACAATGGGTCAGATAATGGGAAAGCTCTAGAAAGCGGCGATTTTTCAGTTGATCCAAGACAAGAAATGCTTGAGGGCGGCCAAGAGGTTGGAGAGGCATGCAGATATGAAGGGCAAGGAGACAGAGAAGGACTAGATGATAGAGGATGTTGAAGGGGATGAGGGGAGGAGAAAGGAGGATTAGAGGGAGTACAACATTCTTGGTGAGGCTGATAAAGAAGTGGAACAACAGTGGAATGCGCCGAGTCGAGCATAGGTGGAACACGATGTTTGAGACTACGCTGGTGTCCGGGTGATGAAGAGGAATTGGGTTGACCCGGCGGCGCAATCGATCTCAAGTGGGCTGAAGAATCAATGGGGGCGCATTGCTGATCCATGAAGAGCCCATTGAGTGGAAGAGCAGGTAATGTTGAAGAGCGAGGTTGCCCACTGTATGGAAGGGGGACGAGCTGATGCAAAAGCGATCAAAAATAGATCAAGGCAGATGAGTATACAAATTTCATGGATAGAATGCCGTAGTTTGGCATCTATCAAATACAATATTGGCAGTTGCTTAAAAGAGATCATACGCTTCACCCAAAAAAAGATGGTATTGCTTTCAGGTTTGCCAGAAAACGATATGCTATACGTTAATAAAGTTCCATTAAAGAAACTCAAGAGTGTTTGCATAATTGGGCGACTCGAATAAGATTTTTGAAACAAAGTCAAATGTTCTACAAGAAAATGAACGTTGTTTGAGAGTATATTTCAATAAAGATCCGAGTAAATCGAGATAATTGGCGTAGATTACTCAGATATTGCAAACACGAAGTCAAAACTTGGCCTTTATGAAAATACAACAAAATATATTAAATACTTATTGTGACAGATAATAAAATATAGCTAAATAATGTCAAAAAAAACAGGTAGTAATGCTATATGCACAACTAGCAACTGGAAATATTAGTAATGAATAATTAACGAAGAAATATCTTGATTATAATAAAACAACCGAGTACTTCACTGCAAAAACCAATATTTAATTTAAGCATTTTTCTTAGCAATAACTGAACCTTTTCTGAGTCCTACACATAAAACAGATAATCGTAATTAACTAGCCGGGCAAAAAAGCATGAGCATACAATTATGAATCGGAATACCTAATATATTTGTAAAAAGTATAAATCTGCTTAACTTTTGGCTTAAAACAATAAGTATTCGAGTGGTTAGTTACGCACCAGAATGAGTCTACATAATAGAAGAGGGGAGAAGATAGCAGTATCAAAAATATAAAAGATCACTATAGTGCCTAAAGCTAATTTATCAAATAAGCTCGGATGACAACATAAATAAGGAGATTTTATGGATAAAATAAGAAGTTATATTTACCTAACGACAGGAAGACGTGCAGCAATAACTGGTTCACACATATTAAAATGCAAGTCAAAAATAAGCGAATTTATATAGCCTTCTCACAATTAGTCCAAATGGAATAGGTTTTGAGAAATCAGATGAGTAATATAAGCGGTTTGACCTGATTTTACCAATTGGGTCATGCTGTCAGAGAAACATCCTGGAAAGCACCCAGTTCGAACTCCTTTGCCAATTCGGCAATCTCTAGCGTTAAGACCCTCGATAGTATCGGCACCAAGCTGCAACTCATAAAAATAGATCAGTTAAACTCATAACTAACTTTCTGGTGAATGTTGTAGTATCGCTCCATCAGTCAAATTATTTCTTTGACAGGTGGTAACCTAATACTAAGAATGGCGACTCCCACTTATGATGCCGGATGAATGTATAGGAATGTACCAAACGCATGCTTCGATGCTGGAAATTAGCATGAATAAGG